GTCTCACGGGGGAATAAAAGTGGAACATGAATGAAAATGCTCTGAAGATCTCTGAAGTTTTGAGGTTGCAAGATGGCCGTTCCCAAATCAAGACGATTGGCACGCGGCGATTCGAGGCTGGGTTTGGAATTGCGACGCGTGTTCCCATCCTTGCCTTGGAAAGCAGATTTTGCGCATTTTGGGAAGAACATGTCTTTTCCCGATGGACTTTTTCCAAAGAAATTACACAGCCTCAGTCCGCGCTGTTTGTCAGCGCTTTCTTTTAGGGAATTCTAGGTTAATTACTAGTTCTTTCTGGCTTTTGTGGCATTTTTTTTGACATGCTCATTGAAGGTGACGAGGCAAATATTGCAAGCGCTTGACTTCCCACTATGTTTACGAGCCAGGAAAAGACATTTTAGCTCGAGGTTGAGGTGAAAGAAAATAGCACCCAAACGAGAGCCGCACAGATGATATGCCATTTGGATCGATTTGCCATCAATTGGCCAGTTGTGATGATCAATGCTTACCATATGACAGGTGCTAGAATGGGGTGAGAAAGACGGTGGCCTGCCTTAGTTCCATACCTTGAAGGTGTTGCGACAAAAGAACCAGAATCGAGAAAGCCAGTTCGTCCTGATTTGCTTTGCGCATCCCAAAATCTGTGTTGGAATGCCAATTTCCATCAGTTTACAATTCCTTTCTAAAAGATACCCAGACTGCAGAGGAGGGAGACATTCGGCTTTCCCTCTGCAATATCCTTGTGGACATTTTGAGGTTGATTCGGGCGCGTAGATACCAAATCACATGTTTTAAATTGTTTGGTTTTGATCGATTCCAAATGGGCAAGTCGTGAAAAATCACAATATCCTGTCACTCACTGACCGTGTGATGTATTTTGTGTACTTCGCTTTGCTAAGGCTATGCCACTGGCTGTGTGCGTTGGGTTGAGGACACCAAGGCCACGGACAACACCGAGGCATTGGCGTGTGAAAGTGTGAAAACCTAGGCGAAATCATGTGACCGATGTGACCTTTACAAAGTGTGAAGTCTTCTTACACTTTTTAGGGCTTTGGATTTTGCATGATTTTGCATAATTCTTCGACATCAGATATCAGCTCTTATCAGCTGTTGTCAGCTGTTTTCAGCTGTTTTTCCAAATGGTTCAAAGATGTTCAAAGTTTTTGTTTCAGACGTGTCAGCTACGGAATTTGTCACTCCGTTTGGACTCCGTTTGCCCCAGGGGCCCACGACTGCAGCAGTGCGCCTTCGCAAGGCGGTGGATTCATTGCTGCAAAAGGTGCCGGCGCAGGTGGGGCCACCGGGGCCATGTGATGCGTCAAAGAAAAGGATCGAAGATGTTCGAAGAGGTTCGAGGACATTCGAAGTTCGAATCAAGAAAACTAATCCTAACTAAAACTAGATCGCAGGAACTTGAGAGAACTTGAGCTTCTCAGAATTGGGTGACGTCAGGATCGAGCAGCATTGGAGGAACAGAAACTTGGCTGCGGCGGTGATAGGATCTACCGGATATGACAGCACTGAATTCTTCAGATTTCTTCATGCCTTCTGCTCCTTCAACCGGTTCAACCTAATCGAGCAAAATATTTTTTGGCGTTGTGAACTGTTGCTGACCTTGGAAAGTCGATGAAGGTTGTGTCCAGTGAAAGCCCAAGATGTTACAAGATGTTCATGGCTTAGTTTGACTCTGAGGCTTGGTCCCACACCATGCACCGATGGCTCTATACTTGGGGAAAGACCGGTGTGGCACAAAACAAGACATGCAGAAGACATGCAGAAGGAATGCAGAATCAGGCAAAGTAATGAAGAAGTGTGGCCAAATGATTCGTTGGAAGTCCAGGGAAGTCCCCTCAAATGACAGGCTCAGAAGCACCCAGGGATATTGGATACAGACGAACACAGGTGGATACAGATGGATAGAGGATCCAAAAGGCTGCTCTTTCCTTTCCGATCTTTCCACGTCTCATTTCAGTGTCTTGACACCTGGCACTTTGACCGAATCTTGTCTGAGGTTCTGATGGGCCGAACTGCCCAAACTTTGTCTTTTGGTGCATGGGTTCTTTTGCAGCATTGGTTTTGGGTCTGTTTTTCTTTCACCTCAAGGCGCAGAGTCGATGGTATTTCTTACTTTTTACATCTGATACAGACATGATATCAATATATATCAATGATTTTTTGTTTCTTATTATGAATGCCAATTTTTGAAGATGCGAGCGGTAGACTCGAATGTGAAGTGGAAAGAAACCATCGTGAAAACCCCGTGAAAGTCTATCAACTGCTCAGCGGTAGCAAAAGCATCAAAGAAGGGTTTGCGGAAGCACCAAGCAGGACCGAGCAGCTAAGCAGGACCAAGCAGGAAGCAAGAAATGAAATGACAGACCCGTTTTGAACTGTTTTAAAAACTTGTGTGCCAAGGCTTGGCCGATTTGCCACCTCGCATTTGCTACGAGCTGTGCTTTGGTGCGAGCTTCAGGGAGGATGCAGAGAAACGGCGTGGGCACCTGGCCAATGTTGAAAAACTAGAAATTTATGTTTGTTTGGCTTGTGTTTTTTGCATGGCAAGCTGTCATGAAATGATTATGGAGGATACACTATTGGCCCGTGGGTTTAAGTCTCCAAGAAAGATTGATGCTCTCCTGACTGGTGGAAACTAAGGCTGACGACGATGCTTGACATCTTCGATTCTTGGATTTCGCTCGGAGTCAAATCTTAGTGCTTTGCGCATCTTTGCGCAGTGCGCAGCAGACCCGGCATCATCCGACATCCAACACATCCAACATCCGACAAGAGAGAGAGTCCTGCTGCCTCGATTTGGCCGGAAACTGTGCGTTTTTTATTTTCGGTTTTTCTTATTCGGTTCTTATTCCATCTTCCAGAATTTTCAAAAGCTACACTGCAGCTACACTGTTTCCTTTTCGTGCTTGGCACCACTGTTGCTAGCAGGAAAGCCAGCAATTGTCCGGCTTCATTTCACACAAGTGCAAGATGGACTTAGTGACCTCTGTTTTCCTTTGTTTTCAATCCCCGGAATGCGAGGAGAAGAAGATCCGTGCCAGACGTGATGACCAAGCAGATCAAACTGAGTGAACCCAATGAGATGCAAAGGAGTGAGCTGTGAAGATTGTGAATTGTGGGGCTAAAATGAGCTATGTCAGCTATGTAAGAATGCGAGTCACAGACTTCAATTGCTGTACAGCAGAGCGCCAAAGCTCCCTTTGCAGGAAGAGTGACCACCAGAGTGTCACGGCGGGAATCAAATGGTCAGAGAAAGCGCGCGAGAGAGAGAGAGAGAGAGAGAGTGAGAGTGAGAGTGAGAGTGCGTGTAAGTAAGTAAGTAAGTGAGTGAGTGAGTGAGTGAGTGAGAAAGTTGCAAAGTGTTTCACACGACTCTCTCAATGTATTCAGATTGAATTTGCCGAGTTGTTTGCCAGTTGTTTCTTTGATTTGTAAAGGTCAGAATGCTATCCATGGCGCTCGGTCGGGTTGGGGACACGGTTTTTGTTTCGATTTGTCTTTGCGACAGGACATTCGACATTCATGAAAAAATAGAAAAGGGTTCCAGGCGACAGAGAAATTCTGATCAGGTCTGTTCTACCGTGTTCTACCGTGTTCTACCGTGTTCTACCTCCTTTTGTTTAATGTACTTTAATGTCTAGGATCCTATGATTGGGCACCTCAATTACATAGTTTTACTACACCATCAGCCGAGAATAGACCAGTGCAGCATGCATTTGTAGAACTTGAGATGCCTTGAGGCTTTCATGAATTGAACCTGTCATACTCCGAGGTTTGTGGCCCGAAAATGTTTTGAGAGTTGCGGAGTGCGATATGCAGTCCAGGTGTCCATAGATGTAGTTGTAGGCATTTGTGTCATTTGCTCAAGATGGCTAGAACTTTACACTGCTTACTGTGCAAAGAAAAGCGTTGACCTCACCACCACTTTGTTTGATACTGAGAACGCACTAGAGATTGAGCAAATGGCCGATTGGCGAATTGTTTTGAAACCTCTGATACTGAGATTCTTGGCGCAGGTCAATTCATTTCGATATATTTCAATACATTGATGGGTTTGGCATTGAGGCTTTGCACTGGTGTTTGCGGGTGCCCAAGGCTGTGTTTGTACAGCGGCAATCAGAGATGTACAGCCAGACTTAGCTGATATGGTGATATGGATTTACATGGGCTATACGGGCTATGTCTTTGCAGCCCGCAATGCAAAGACAATCTATCCGATTCCTTGAAGCTCTCACAAGTTCTGGCTCTGGTTTCTAACTCTCAGCGCAAACAGTAGAGACATGTAGAGACTATGGGGCCAAGAGAAAACTGTTTCTGAGGGACTTGCTTTGAACTGCTTTGACTTGCTTTGAATTTCATTTTCGACCCAAGAGGTCCTTTAGATGGCACCGACGGTGATAGCGCCATTGCAGTGTGGATGTCCATTCGTGTGGAAAGAATTGTGCCTTCTGAGATGCGCCGCATGGATGCTTGTAGAGATAGCAAGGTTTCAGCAGGCTGCAAACGGGTTCATGACATTTCATGAAATGCTGGCGGAAGATTGTGAAAGGATGTGAAAGGCTTTGCAAAGCCGTGGGGATTATGGTTCTTGTTGACGAAACAATTTCTTTCAGAGCCTTTCGGCTTCGTCAGTGCCAGTGCTCTTTCGAAAACATCAAACTCATCAAACTCATCAAACATATCAATTTCCAGCCCACAAGGCTTTGGATAACGAAATCGGCATTGAGGCCATGCCACTTCGATTGCAGTCTATGACACATACCCACGCGCACACACACACAGAAGCGTGAATAAATAGCCTAGGTATCAAGGTCCCATGAGAGGATACCAAAGGATGTCGAGAGAATGTCTTCTTGCGATGTCACAGGTCTGTCATATGGGACTGCAAGTTGGTGGATGAACAATCCCAGAGGCAAGATAGCGAAAGCGATAGCTAAGCCTAGCGCAAAATGCCAAAATGCCAATCCAGAGTGCCTTTCCAACAGATCTCCAGCAAAGCATATCTGGAGAGCCATGGAAGAGTCAGGCGGCAGGGTGCTGTGAATATGAAAGGATAGAAACCTTTAAGCTATTCGAATAAGCAAATTGAATTTCAAGGTTCAAAGCTGCCAAAGAATTCAATACCGCGAAATGAAACGATGGTTCGTTTGGTCAAACTTTGTACGACTTGAATGTGTGTTGTTGTGATGTTGAGATACTTCTTGGTCCGGGCCAACCATGTCAGACAGGCTGAGAGGGTTCTGGAAAGAATCCCAGATGGTCAAAAAGACTAGAAGTAGCAGGCTCGGGCCGCATGTGCGATGCTGTGAATCCGCTGGAGCAATGGCATTCTAAACCACACAAGAGGTTAAACCGAGTTAAACCGAGCTAAACCGAGCTGAACCCTTATTTTTCACACAGCGTGTATTGATCGTCCCAGTGTTCAGTGACACTCATTGATTGGGGCTCTTTGAAGGTTGAGGCCGTTGTGGAGGAATGAGTTGGCCGTAGTTGTCCTTGGCCAATTCGCATCTCTTATCTTTTGCTCCCCTTTCGAAGCACCATGGGTTCTTCGATTCGACTTGCCCAGGAACGACGGGTGGTATGATCAGCTGCAGGTTGGGTGTTGGCGGCTTTTTGAAGCGACCAATTTGCATGTGTCCTGTAGGGACATGGAGATGCATCTCCAGATGATTCCTAAGCCACCTAGCATGTAGATGGTGTAGATGCGTTCCTGTTCCAGGGTAAAGTTGGTCTTGCAGGTTCATACTGTGGAACATTTCAAGGATGTCAAACTGATCAATGCTACCCAAATGAGGACTTCCATTGCTTGCTGTGCCGCGACAATGCTTCTACTGCTTCCAGTGATTCTAATGCTTCAAGGCTGCCATCTTGGAGCTTATCACTTGTCGTTTGGGCCTTGGACTTTTGTCGAGATCTTGGGGCATTCGTGCCATCCTCTCTGAGCGAATGCTGAATCTTTCTGATTCTTCCTGATGTTTGATATATTTGTATATATTTGTTTGTTATATATATATATATCTTTTTATTTGCCAAACTCTAAAAGCACTGCGATTTGCTCAGCGCAAGGTGATGTCGGGGATTCCGTTGATGATGGTGAAGTGGGCCATGAGCGACGCCCGCTTAGCAGCTGGTGGGTTTGGATCTCAGGTCACGGTGGCTCGTGGAATGGCATAATTTTTTGAAATGGCTTACAAAAATCCACGAGCTCATTTGGAAATATTGGAATGCGAAGATGATGATGCTGGGGAGACGAGTTGACAGGGGCAGGGGACGAACACAACGTGATGCACTGCTGAGAGATGTGGAATCGAGGAGTGTGCAGAGGGCGACTGTGGCCGGCGCCTCACAACTGACCCGAGATTGGAGAAGTTAGAAGTGTGACTTTCAGCTTTCAGCGGTCTAGGCGCAGCCACGAAAATTGTGGGGCTGCTACTGTAGGATAAAGGGGGCTCAGGATTTCCTTCAGACATTTCCGGATTGATACAATGTATACATGACATTATGTAATCAATATATAACTATATAACAATCTAATATAATTCGAATATACAATGATCTACATATACATATACATATACATATATATATATACATATGTACATATATATGTGTATATATAAATATATCTAGACTCTTAAAGAAGCTACATCGGGTGACCTGGTCATATTTGGCTTGCAACAATGACAAGGGCATGAACAGTGCACCAATGTGCACCCAGGGAAACATGCACATCAGCCACTTGTGCCTTTGCTTCTTTGCGCTAGACGCGAATCCAGCGCAGCGTCTCCTTTCATGGCACTGGGAACCAACTGTCCTCTTGTCGGTCCGAGTTCCTCTCTCGGCAGTCCATATCAGCAAGGCTTTGTGAGTCCCAATGTCTCTTGATTTGAAGAGAAGAGGCCACTGCAGGCATGATATTTCTGGGCTGCAAATGGTACTGTTTCCCTTTGATTTTTCTTGCCTTGTGGTCTTGAGACTCGCAAACCACAACAGTTGAACTTTGCAGCTTTCCAAAGTTGGCCATGCCTTCAGCGCCTTTTGCGATTTTGGATTCTATTGGATTCTTTTGCATTCTTGTAGTTTCTTTCAGATTCTTTTGGATCCTTTTGGCAAGCCAAAGGGCTCTTGTCATAGGTTGGGTGCTCGGTGGCGGCGAACTTCTCAGCATCCTGTCTCCAGGGTCCTGTGCAGGGTGCACAAGGTGCTGTGCAAGGTGCTTGCTGTGCAAGGTGCTTGCTGTGCAAGGTGCTTGCTGTGCAAGGTGATGTGCAGGGTGTTGTCCAGGTTTTGAGGGCTGTCCTTGTGCAAGGGTGTGATCTCACGGGCGTTTTAAAGAGCAAAGACATTTGTGCAAGTTTGTGGCGAGTTGATTTGGAACATTTTCTCAAGCTGCTGGAGTCTATGCTGGTGTTATGGTTTCGTTCGTTTCCAGCACATACCCTTATAGCTCAGTCTGGGAGCTTTTTTTCAAGCACATGTCTTGGATCTTCGGTCATTCCACTGGTGAACAGCATTTCGGAAATTTGCACGGTTCAAGTTGTTATTGCTAACGTTGACCAGGATCAAAAAGATCCTGCTTCCAGGGTTCCAACAAGCAGAGTTCGTAGACATGATCCACTTTGAGCTTTGTCTCTCTTTGTTTTATTCAGGTTAGCGTCTTGGCACTGAGGATTGGAACTGGAAGAACGGAGGCGTTCCAGACATGTCATAAAGCACCGACCTGCAGATACCTCAGAGGCGATGGGTTCTACGGGGGGGCTGAAAGGTAGAAAAAGGTAGAAAAAGGTAGAAATAGTTTTGATATATTTTGATCGGACGTAGTTGCAACATGTTGCAACTTGAAATCCCGACAGTTGCCAGGGCATGTCATGTCTTTGACTTTGATATTCGTCTGCCAGGTTTCCACCTTAGAATGGAGCAGATTGGATGCCTTTGAGGCAGGTACAAACATGTACAAGCATGTACAAGCTTGGATAAACTGCCGTGACGTAATGTAATGTAATGCAATGCAATGTATTGTAAGGTTATGTAGTGTTATGTAACGCAATGTAATGCAATGTAATGTTACGCACAGACGCAGACATTAACATTGAGGATGTCTTGTTGTTGAATAAGATACACTCCTGGAAACAAACGTAACTCCCGAAACTGAGAAACGAAAACCGGGGTCTACGTTTATTTGTAAAAAGCGACTTTTGCAAGAGCAAAAAACAAACCACTTCCGCTCACTAAGATAGACCTTGGGACATAGAGGTGAAAGGCAGGGTGAATTTGCCCTAACATAGACCTTGGAAGCAGATAGTTTATGCATTCAGGTAAATTGTACACTTGCGAAACAAGAACACTTTGCTCACTAACATAGACAGTTCATGATATTAATGAAATCATTCTGGGGTACCCCCTTTGTTGGCCCAAGAAATGACTCAGAAGAGCCTTTTTGAATAGAGACTTCTGAAAGAAAAACATGATATTTTGGTTTGAAATCTGCACGGGGATCTTGGATGGTACCATCCTTTGTTGTGGCTGAAGATAGATCATGCATCTAGCACCCGGGTCTAGGTAAACCGTAAAAACAATAGGGAACCATTCTCATCAAACATGAAAAAGATAGTTTGGTAACGCAGCAAGAGTGGTTAATAGGGTTGTACCAACAGATGAGAAAGGCGCGTTGCTCCCTCACCTGTGTTGCACACTGCCGCACTGCTGTACAGGCACCATTGCCACCGACTCCTGTGCCTAAGCCCAGAGTTTGTAAGGTGGGGGCGGTAAGATTGTAGTCCCTAGATGTACATAGTGGCGTGAACGATTTTCCTTTTCCATGTTTGTCTTGTGGAGCAGATTCGGTAAGGCCAACTTTCTTGGCAGTGATGTAACAATGTGCTTCTTTCAAAGCATTGTACCTTCAGATGCATTAAATACTGCATGACCTAGCCTTAGCTTCATATTCCTTCAGATGGGGCTTTCAATGACATTTCCGCCAGCAGACATGGGGGCTTAGTCGGCTTAGTGGGTGCCCGGGTGCCCTTTTCCTTTCCCGATATCCGCCGTTCCCAGCCTACAGGAGAATGAGCCGCCGCTATTCCCCAGGCAAATGATTACTTTGCCTGACTCTGTCGTGTTTCTTCCGACAAACTCACAATCTCTCAAAGATGGGGTTGGCCCAGTCTGACATATCGGACGCATTGTGAAATGTCAAAAACCAATGTATTATATCACATGTATATTATAAATACAATAATATGTAAATATAATTATATATATATACACATATATGTAAGGGAGTTTTGTGGGAGTTGATTTTTTCACGGGAAATGGTTGGAACAAAGGAAAAGGTCAATACTGCAGCCTTGAAGCCGTTAGACAAATGTTTGATGTATGAATTGGATGCACCCTGATGGTTGATACCCTCACTGTCGCTGTGAGGGTCCTTGTGGTGTTGGTGTTGCGCTGTCCGCCATGTGTGCCAGCTCTATGCAGAGCAGGTGGGATATGACCCACGCTACAGAGGTGGCAGTGAGATGTATCTCTGCACGGGCCTCTGACTTGTGACTGAGCATGGTCACGTTGGGTATAGTGCTCTGGCTTGACGTGCTCATTGTGCCTTTCACCGCAGTTACGCCATCGTTCTACCGGTGGATACCGCGTCTGAGCCCAAGCTCACGACAGGTTGTTGTGCAAATTTTGAAGCGAACATAGCCATGACAATGCGCGGGTCCGAAGACGAGAGCGACGACAACGCGTCGCTGGCCCCTTTGAGTGGGACGGTTGCTAAACATGGAATTTGCGAGGAGCTGGCGACGGAGTCATCGGGCGATGAGGCTCTGCGCAGAGCTGCTGCAGAGGTTGTTAGCAATAATAGTGCCGACTGACACTGCTGCAGGACTGGCAGCCCATGGCAACACCTGGCACAACGCGCCTGCCGAAGCCTGTCAGGCCAGGTAAGAGGGTTTTGAAGCATAAATGCAGGCAGAAGAGAAATTGATGCGATAGTCATTCGACGGAAACATTGGCAGTCTGCCGGAAGAGGACTGGTCTGCCTGAGCCTCGGAAGGATTGCCTACACCCCACTGGACCAGCTCCAAGGCTACATGGACCGCGTGAGCCGCAGGAAGTGGCCGGCGCGTGAGCAGTGGGCATTGAAATATGGGGTTCCGATCGCAAGGATCTTTTCAATGCCTTGGGGCCTGTGCACCTGAGAGCGGTGGCTGGAGAGGAGAAGCAAGGGGCAAGAATGACGTGCTTCAAGTTGATTGGCTTTGCCATTTGTTCCCGGGCGCCCAAAGACAAAGCAGAGGCAAGAAGAATTTGCATGCCGCACTCGTGCGTAGAAATGCTTTAGCGCGCGCCTCACTTGTCATAGATTTCGTGCTGTTCAGGAGCCTACGCCGCCTCTATTGAAAAGACTGCGGCCGAAGAGGCGCTTGTATGAAGCCGTGCGCTGGAATGGCCAATGACAAATGCCATTTGTTTTTCTGGTCCGTAGCAGGATGTAAGAATGGTGCAGTTGGTCTTTTCACCGACAATCAGTCGCGCTGCAGGAGCAACTGTGCCACAAGCAGTGTGTTGTCAAACGCCGACCAGTGATGACACGAGGGTCGGAAATAAATACGTTTCAAGTCTTGCCCAGCAAAGCGACACATGTTTTTAAGTAGATTGCCCAGGGCTGCATGCAGTTGAATTCAGTGCTTCTGTTGATCGAATTACAACCCTTGGGCAAGACCTATCCAGAGACATTACCCAAAGGTCTTGGCCAATCTGTATATAGCCCGCGACGATCTTCAGTTTGCAATGGTAGAAAAGCGGTCTCTGACTCAGAAGGGCTGCGTGTGTTTACTTGTGCTGTGTTGAACATTTACTTCTTGCAATCATCTCCCATGAGACAACCAACTCACACGAAACTTCCTTATGTATATATATATATATGTATATATATGTATTTATATTTGTATAATTATATGTATTCATACAATTACAGACGAGTATGATATATATATATATATATGCAGAAACTTATTTCAGGATGTTTCGGAAGAAAAGGTTCGGGGATTTCAAGTTGGGTTGCAGGCCGACTCTGACTGGGTCCTCACAAGATGAAAAACCCGAGGTGCGGTGAGACAGAAACCTTGGATCAAATTCCATGACTGCTTGAAGCAGAACACGCTGGACACGGAACGATTGCTTAACTGCATGCTCTGGAAGTGAAATACGCAAGTGGAGGACTCAAACTTACCATGTTTTAGAATGCTTTAGAGTCATTGCCTTTTGTTCTTATCGACTTGAGTTTGCTCATTTTAGCTTCTCAAAGTGGCGACTCCCAAGCAAGGACAATCTAAACCAAAAACAGATTTTGACGCAAATCTGCATTCAACCGTCAATGCCGTCAATGTTGAGCGTTCAAAACGCTTTCAGAACCTCGAGCAGTTTGTCACAGGCTTCTCCGGTGCCTCCTTTCGGACGAGATTCAGGAGCTTCTCTTGAGAATTTACAGTTTTGATTTCCCAAGAATAATCTGTCACAAGTTTCACATATTTTTTTCTCTTCCTTTTTCGTTTCCTCTTATCTTCTTATAAAACCCTGAGGCACTTTGAGCTCCGTTCTCTCCAAGTGAATTTTCGCTGCTTTAGAGGAGAGACTTCCGTCAAAATACCCGGTGCTTTGGGCGATATCAAGAGGACAGTCGAGTCGACGGAGTTGGCATCATCGCAATTTAGGGCACGTAGCAGACGTAACACATCGAAAGGCGTCCTCAGGCGTCCTCTCACCTCCGCTTCGGTGTTGCTGTTCGCACCTGTTTAGGTGAAGCGTGTGTGGTGAAGTGTTTGCACATTGCACACATTGTTGATCAGTGGAACATCACATGTAGCTAATCAAAATTAACAATGCCTCAGGATGGGACCAGTGATGTTGTGTCCAGCTGTCCCGCAAAAGCTGGGAGACCACCCAGCACCTTCCTTCCAGGTGGGGTCTTGTTTGGATGTTGAAGTATGCTGAAGTGTTTTCAAAAGTTTTCAAACACAAGGCACCTGCTGGTGGTTTTTGCTATCGAAGTTCAGCTGGCACTGTGGCTGGCACTGTGGCTTTCACTGCCTTGACTGACAATGTTTTGTGCCTGACAGCATTGCTCTCAAGCGGCTCTAGGTTGGAATGAGTTTTCTCGAGTCCAGAGCTTGGATAGCGGGCCGCTTCGAGGATAGCCGGATCTTAAAAGCTGATGCTTGGATTGTTGATTGTCTCAAGCACGAATGCGCGCAAAATTTGGCTAGAGGGATTTGGATTTGGGCTACAGCTTCCTTCATATTAGGTTCTGAAGACAGTTTTGGCCGTCCTGAGAAGTGTGCCGAAAGTATAGATTAGACGGGGCTGCACAGATATATGACATATGAATATATGTGAGACTGATACTTTATATATCTTGAATTTTCTTGATATCTCCCAACATCCTTCCAATCGTCCAGAAAGGCGATTGTATACCAACCCACATGTAACTAACATACATACATACATACATACATACATACATACATACATACATACATATACATACATACATATACATATACATATACATATACATATACATATACATATATATATATATATGCGCAGGTATCTACACATGTAGATATTTCGCAAAGATTCTCGCAAGCTGTGAGGCCCTTCCGTGGTCTGAGCACTGCAAGCAGCTTGCCACATAAGCAACAGAAACCAGGCGCGGCTGAACCCGCAAACCCAGCATTGAGAGACACTTAGAATATGCAGCTGTCACTTTCCATGGGATGTTCGGAGGGTGGGGGTCGGGAGTGTGAACGTCTCCTTCACCGAGAACTATAACATAGTACATAGTGCAAGTAGCTGGGATCCAGCACTGAGAGTAGCCTTTCACTGGCTGCAGACCTTGCAAAGTTCAATCAGAAAAACACAAGACGCGGCGACGCGGGACAAAGCTCAAAGTCAAGATCAAATCCTATATTCAACCATATCCTCATGATCCATTAAATGGGATTGGATACGCGCAGTATCATTCTCGTTTCCAAGACGCTCAGGCTTTCGTGCAATTTATTGATGCAGAAGAATCGAAATGGATGCAAAACATTGCCGATGCCGTACACAAGAAAAAAATGCAAACTTCAAATATACCAGTAGTACCGCACAAGGCGGTGGCGGAAGTTTCAAAAATAGGAACCCTAAAAGAAGGGT